AAAAAAAAAAAAGGTGGTTTTGAGAAAAAGTGGCTCGGGCTTTACCTCCTTTCATATGATTCAAAATAAATACACATCTAATCATGAAGTTTCTTAAATAATTTTATTTTTAAAATCAGTGAATACTTGGTGAATTCTATAAAAATATATTTTTTGTAAATTTTTATGCAGTTCTCACAGACCAATATTTCCACTCAGTAAAATAATTGTGAAAAAGAATATGTTCAATACATTTATATGAAAAATTATGAAGATCCACTTAATATGAAAATTTAAGAAGCCAGCTGCATTTAGTAATGTATGCTGTTCGGCCCAATCTGAAGCCATTAATTGCCAAAACAGTTTTTATTTTGTAGCTACTTCCTAAGTTTATTAAAATGATATTTATTTGATCCTTTACCTGACTCAGAAAGTTCATTCTCAGATATCTATCTTAATTTTACGTGTAACTTTTTATTTTTAATTCACTAAAGTAATGAATATTTTTCAGATGGAAATTTTTACTGTACAAGAATAATACAAAGAGATAAAATTTTATTTTTACACAATCTTTTCACCCACAGTGTTGACAATTCTTGCTTTATTTTAAGAAATTCTTTTTAAAATAAAGATGTTATTAGATCCATATGTATGAGATAAAGCCTGTAGCCATCTTTTGCAAGCATTTTGTATACATAAAAAAAAAAAAAAAAAAAAGCCAAAGTAGTAGAATAAAAAAATCATAAGCAAACAAATGTATTTGTTAGCCAAATAACAAACTAGAGATTAAGAAACAAAGATGTACTTTTGTAGTCAGTAACAATAAACAAAATTTAAGTTCATTAATACCTGCTGTTTTGCATTAAGCTACATATGATAAAATGTGTAAATTTTTGCTGTAATCCTTTTAATTCTATAGAGGTGTGCAAAATTTTATTATGACATAACATGCTAATTATACATGCTGGCTTTGTCGACAACAATGAAACATAAAAAAGCAATGTAAAAGTAATAATTTAACAGTTCTGTAACATACAGTGGTGCAGATATATTCATAGAATTACTTTATTCACCTACAAGAATTCTTACAGAATTCTTTTAGCAAGTTGCTGGAAGTGAAGTAACAATATCATCAAATAAATTCCATGGAATGCTTTTTGGACGGTACTAGCAGAGCTTTCTTTGGGTTTTTCCATAGTATGATACTGTAACTTGATTTTATCCACAGATATCTCCTTTTTGGATATCAGTAATTTTGATGGCAAAATTGGCAAATTGGCTATCAAAATAAAGAGAAGTTTAATTTGAATTAGTTCAGCTTTAAGATCTGGAAAACAGTAAGAAAAGAGAAAGGATAATTCAATTATTTATAAAAGCTGGATTGTTCTTCAGTTGGAGTGTACAACTCAAAAAAAAATTACATAGAGAAAACAATATTTGTGTTCAGTATCTTTAAACAGTTATTTCCAAAAAGGTACAGGTAGGTGTAAAAGAAAATCATTACAAAAATTTTTATATGTGAAAACTTCAGAATTATACTATTAATATACTACCAACATTTAAAAACTCTGACACATACCATTATCTTCATTTTCATTTATTTCCTAGGAAATTATTTTACAAATTTAACTAAGTAAATTGTAAGTAAGTAAAAATTCAATTTCTGGAAACGTAAATTTTAAATAACATCCTCTGTTATACATCAAAGGAGACTATACCATTAAAAAATTGCTAGGAATATATATATATATCATTTCTGTATTTAATTAAAAAAAATCTGCTCTTGCAGATCCATAAAATTATACTTTCACTGTTGAATAAAATGCTTGAAAACTATTTCAGTTAAAAATAAAATTGCAGTTTGAAAAAACTTCACATTATTAATCTAACACTTCGAAGAATTTATCATTAAAGTTTCAAAAAGTTAAAATATATAAAAATCATAAAAGAGATTGCGATGTTATCCTGGTGGTGCACATTTTAATTTAACATTTGGAAAATTTTAAGTAGATACAATAGGCCTTTGGTTAGAGTTGACTTTACGGTACCCCTTGTATTATCGCCAAGTTGTTGTTCCGTTTATTGCCAAGTCGTTTCATTTATGAGTAGTTGAATGTTATGGAAACCCTACTATGACGTAATCGTTTGCATTATTCCGGGAAATTTTGAATCATGGGATGTTTTGTAAAGGCTTTTGTGGTGTGTGTGGAAATATTGCTTATTTCATTGTTTAGACGGTAGAATGGCTGAATGTAGTAAGATTAATTTGAAGTTTCTGTACGATTTGGAACGAAAGGGGAAAGTGCATTAATTGACTGGTGTGTAAATAAATGAAGGTTTACTTAGTAGCCATTTTCCGGACAGTCCGGAATACGTAGGATACTTTTGACTCTTATTTTTGTGAATTTATGTGGCGACGCCGATATACGGATTCTAGTTCAGATAATTTTAGGAAGTTTTTGGATACTGTTAAGCAATTTTGTGTGCCACAGAGGTAAGGGATATTTGCTGTGTAATGCTT